CGCCCACGGCAGGGAGAAGAAGGAGGAAGACGGCAGCCCGGGACAAAGAAGCCTACCAGCGCGGGAACGGACCTGGGGGAGGCCACGGTGGCGCGGAAGGCGGGGAAACGGGCTCGACCGAGGTCTTCGCCGTGCCTCAGTTTCCTCTGCTGCTAAGAAGGGGTGTTTGTACACCAATGCCCCGCCCGGTTCTGGCCATTTGTTGTGTCCTCCTATGAGAAAAGACTGGACTCTCGTATTAGGCCTGTTTTAGGTTCTGCTCCCCCAAAAGCCGGTTTGCTTAGGACTGTCCCGTTTTGAGCACTAGAAGTCCTGCATCCTGGGAACCTTCAGTCCAGGGCAAATCGGAACAGCTGGTCACCCACCCTACGGGGCTTCGTGGGTCCAAAAACTCCGTTTTCCTTTCGGAAGGGGATTAGCTAAAACCAGTATTTTTCTGGAGTAATAGACTCAACCAGGAAGAAAGTTTGCTTAGCTTGTGTCTATTAGAAAGAGGAAGACTTGGGAAGAAGATGAAGAATGAGGGGGAAGTTTTAGATAATTGATGGGTGTTGAGTTGCTTTTCATAGATTTATCTGAAGGTTTGTGTCTGGAGAACAGGGATGAGGAAAAAAAAATTTCATCCTTGAGGATACAATTTCTTTTTCTCCTCACTTTTTTTAGTAGGTGGAAATGGGGGCTGGAGGAGGACTATTTAAAAGAGAAGGGAACCATTCTTTATGAGAATGGCAGGGCACACTGTGGTAAGAGGACTGAAACCTGTACCAGCCAACATTCTGAAACCCAGTAACTCCGAACATCCTGCTGGCAGGCTGCCATCCTGCTTGCAGAAAGTGTGGGTTGCCACCTGGTAAGCTACAGCACCCTGTTAGGAATGGAGCTGAAATTATCAGATTTATGAAACTGAGAAGGAGTGTTCTCTTGTGAGAGATCAGAGGCTGAGATGTCCCTTTGGCTGCCAATTTTAAGCAAGTATAAGAGAAAAAGTAATCCCATCTATGGAAAATCCCCACATTGCTCATTTGCAAAATCAAAGCTATTGGTTAGCAAATCTCTGAAGACTTTAATAAATGAGCATTATTTTTCCTATTTAATAGTTGATCAGTTCTAAGAGGCTAAGTGATTTTTCTGTATCTATCTGATTTGTAAAACTGCCACTAGAACTCAGCATCGTTGAAGTGAAAGGTAATGGTTTTACCGCAGTTGAAAATTAATCACAATTGGCCCAGTCAGCACAGGAGACCTTGTAGTTCAAAAGATAAACCATAATTCATCCATGTTTGATTTGTACCACATTTCCCAGAATTTCCTTTCTTGTTTGTGATTTGGGGAGGCGCTGGTAATCGTGCCACAAGAACATTATGAGGTTTCCACCAGTCACTAGAAAAGGAGATCGTGTTTGGTAGAGGGTCAGTGAGATGGATTTACACCATAGCTGCAATGGTTTGCTCAAACACACCAAAGGTTGTGAGGATGGCGCAGGACCAGGCAACGTTTTATTCTGTATGTATGAGTCACAGCCAACTAGAGGGCAACAATAACAGCAAACTAAATACGTTCAAGGGCATTTAGTCATTTTATTAATGCCAATGTCAACCACTGTTCCAGTACACATAATAGAGTCTTAACTAATACTTGATAAATGAATAAATGTGTTCTGCTGCTTCCGTGGGACCAGACCAGAGCGTTTGGCTAAGCCAAAGCATGTGAGTGGCAATTTATGCGTAGAAGTCATGAACTTTGAGGAAAACAGAAAGTATGTATGTTCTCTAAAAAAGGAAGTGACGGGTCAGGAGTATGACTCTACTTGTGATTTCAAATAAATATTAATAGATGGAAAGTTAGCTAATGGTAAAATTTATGATTACTCCAAGCAGGGGTTGGTCACAGTCTTGCCATGCCCTACAGAAAATCCTAGTAAGTAGTAATAATGCAGGTCACATCACTAGATCATGTCATGATAGAACATCTGTTGGTATCTTGATTTCAAGACAAATCCATATTTTACCTACACCAGCTCCAATTATTACAAATTGTCTTCTGCTGTCTTGTTAAAGTCAATATTATGTCAAATAGAAGTTGGCCTTTCCTCTAGTTGGGCACCATACTACTTTGTGCTCCTCAAAATCTATCTTTATTCATCTCCTGTTTCCCAAAGTAAAGTTTAAATTTTATAGAACATACCTAAGATGTTACCAGATGCCCAGGTATGTTTTAATCAGCTTTAATCTCTTAATTTCTGTTTATAATTATAGGCCAGGTTTAAAGGAACCACAGCTGCAAAAGAGACAAAAGACTTCTCTAGGAACTTGATTCTCTCCTTCTAACAGTGGAATC